GGCTCGTCATCGGACTGGGGGGGCAAACTGGGATCCTGAGTGGTACGAGAGGGGTTATGGGAATCTGGAGGTCGAAGTGCGGCCTTGAAGAAGTTGGTGACTTTTGAGAATCCGCCAAATGTGGTGGCGTACGGGTCCTGGATGAATCTCTACTCGGGCGATCAAAGAAAAGACAAAGAAGAATAAAAAAAAAATAATAATAATTACCAAAATGATCTGCCCTGCAAAAACATTGTTTGTTTTCATCATGTCAGATTTTTGGCTGGAATGTGAGTTGATTTTTGGTGATGACATTCAAGCACATAACACATGTTCCAATATCGTTCCACATGATCGACCGTTGAAACGACTCTCAGACAAAATTACCAAAACAAGATCCGAGCCTCCATCGTCGAGGAGCTGCAGTTTGTCGAAGGACTGCGAGAGAGCGCCTGAGTCCTGAGGATAGGCCAGAAAGAGCCGCCCGTCAACCGGAGACCTGACGACGACAACAAAAGGCTGTGTGATTGACAGAACAAGGAGTCAAACCATCTGCTGAAATCACAGACAATCATTCTCACTGGTCCAGGATGATGTAGTACTGCAGCGCCCTGAACAGCTCCCTGGTTCCTCCTCTGTGGAAGTGCAGCGGGGGCAGCGGGTCCCCACCTCGACTCGTCAGCACCAGGAAGTTTCGACCCAACGAGAAGCGAGCCCTTCGGAGGGAGTACAACTCTGAGAGCGGCAGAGAGAACGACCACTGACCTGCGGGGGAAATAAGGGATTTCAATTTTTTAAAGAAAAAAACACAATCGCTGACTATTTTTTTTATTTTTATTATTGATTCATCGGTTCAGTCATTTTTTTTAAAACAGCAAGTCAAAAAACATTCTGATACCGGTTCAATAACTGTCGGGAATTTCTGCCTTTTTCTTTATCATTTGGGTTTTGGGATGTTGGACAAAACAATGGGATGGTTGGTAGCAATTTAAAGATATCATTTTAGGATCCTGGAAAGAGATCCCTCAGCTCTTTGACACTGACTGGACAAAATCAATGATCATTTAATCAATAATCAGGATATTAGATGGTTATACGAAACAATATTTATTGCTGCCTAGCTTTGTCTTTCTTATTTTAACTGTGAGGGAAAGTGGCAGAAGAGGGAACTGCACCTGAGTCTCTGACCGGGACTTGCTCCCGATCTTTCTTCACCGTGCTGATAACAGCCCAATCAGGCTCATACCCCGGGTCAAAGTTTGTATCCTCCTCCCCTCCTTCTCCATCCTGACAATAACAAAAGATTCAAATGAGATTACTTAAGAAATACATAGGAGGGAAAAAAAAACACTCATACAGTTTCTATATGGGGGTGATGTCTGACCTTTTTGGTGTAGAGAACAGCAGGGGCACTGCGACCCTCATCCTCCAGCGGGCTCCACTCTAATGCAGGCACCCCAACCTAAAGCAAAAAGCAAGGTCATTAACTCTTTTTTTTTTTTTAGGTTTCTCCTCTTTGTGCGGGAACAACTTTGATAAACACCGGACTTGCTCACCCGCTCTACAATGCGGATGAATCCTGGGATTGTGTTTTCCTGATTACTCCTCTTGGCATTTGTGTGGAGATACACCCCCTCCTTCTCGAATATCAGCTGAGGAATACAAAAAAAAAAAAAAAGATACATTATTATAATTGATTACATCTGACTGTTAAGTCCAAAAAAACAACAAATGTTCCAGGATACTGGGGGGGGGGAGAGAGTCTTGACAACAGGTTGGATGACTTGGTCGGTATATTTTCAAAAACCACATCAAATTGTAAATTCTATAATAGATATACTCGTTCAACAAGTCTGCATAATCTGTCACATCAGATACATTTGACGGTATGTGGAAGTCACTATCACCACTTCAGTGTTTGAATATGAACTGGATTTTGAAAATTTCAACAACAACAAAAAAATCAGAGAAATCAAAAAAGACCAAGTACTTTGAGTTTTCTGTTGTATCTTTCATCACACGCTGATTTACACTAGTTTTATGTCACCTGAAACCCTTTTTCTTTTCTTTCTATATTTATTTATCTGAAATGTAAAAAATAAATGAGTGGAAATGATCAGGTTAATTCTAAGCATGTTAGAACAAGGGAAGTGTTATTTGTGCCCTGACATAGAAAACACACAAATCCTGAAATGTTGTGGAAAAAGGAATTGCAAAATAAACAGCAAACAATTAAAATAAACGATTGGCCTAAAAATACAATCTCAAGCTAACCCGTAGCTGACACAGTTCAGATAAATCCCTTTAAAAAATCTGCTTGTCACTAAAAGCCAGGGGTCACATGGTGGTTGTTTCTGCCCCGTCAGATCAGTCTGTGAAACAAAAACACAAGAGGAAACTTTGATAGATTTTACTATCACGAACTAAAAAACCCCACTGACTTCGAAGACACGTTTTCAGGTTCATCTTGTTATTCATAAACAACACAGATGACAACAATACACATGTAGCAACCAAGTGTTGTGTTACTGCTTCATCATGTGTTATTGAGCGCTAGCTTGAAGTGGTAACAACAGCTAACGTTGACAGCAAACTCGGTTATTTCCAGCTATAATTTCACATTTGGCATTTGGAAGGGGAAGCTGTGGACAATCGACTATTTTACAACTTGACACGTTAAAATTATTATTATTTTTTACCTTGTAATCTTCAACGCTTTGCTCCATTCTTCTCTCACCTCTGGCTCGACTGGTTTTCCAAAATAAAAGTTACGTCACGTTTCCTGACGACGGAAAACCCCGCCCCCAAAGAGACGTCAACAGTAGGAGTGTGGGGTTACTTGACCGGTAGTTGATAAACTGGTTTATTTTTTATTTTTAAAAGGGGGCAAACAAAACACAGAAACACAGGGGAAAAGGATAATTTAAATCTTAAATTTTAATCCTGATTTAAAAGGATGTTAAAATACACTATAATGTCTAACTTGACGTTTGAATGTAGTTCTCAATACTGACCGCTAGAGGGCAATAAACACTCATGATTCTTAACAACACTGCCCTACAAAGGCAAAAAAGGCAGTAACTTCAATTTTTTTCGAAAATGAGTTTTTTGTCATTTTTGGAACATTACAGATTTATCATGTGGACAAATATCTTGAGTCAATTGTGTTGTTCTTTTGAGAAAATAGTAGGTTGTATTTGCCTTAACTTCCAAAAGCCCTCAAGAAACCAAGGCAGAATCCAGAATGCTCAAACTGAGTTAAGGTCTTCTGCCTTTGTTTTACTGCTGATCAAAGTGAAGTTACTGTTTTACTGCAGTGGAGTTAAGGTGTTATGCCTTTGTTTTAATATCTGTCATCAAGCACTTAATTGTGCCATGATCACTAGATTTCATGTGTATGTTATCATTATTATCATATACTGATTTAATATAGTGATTAACCAACCAAGGGCGCTAACAAATGGAAGTTACTGCCTTTTGTCCTTGGCATGACGCCTTATTATTGTACAGGCAATGCAACGGCAGAGTACCTTAACTTCAAAATAAGGGTCAAAGGTCATGTTTAAGCTCAAGATTTTTATGTACATTAATAACCTGATTAAAAAGACAAAGAATTGCCACATTTCCAATATTCTGCCTGCAACTCATTTGGTTGGACAACAAAAAGACTTTTAAAGTCATTTTTCTCAGTTCTACTCTCTGGTGACTTAAGGTCTTTTGCCTTTGTAGGGCAGAATAGCGAGGTAGTCGATTAGAAATTACAGGATACTAACCTAACCTGTCAACCAAAAAATGTTTAATTAAAAAAAAAAAAAAGTGGAATGATACTGTCTCTTAAATAACTATTTCTCAAGTTAAATTCCCAAAATATTATAATACTTTGTACACGTACAGAAGTTTTTATTATTATGAGTATTTAAAAATTTAAAAAAATTAAAATTACTAGCTGCTAATTGTTTCAAATACTATACATTACAGCTAATATATCAAAATACTATACATGTAAAAAAAAAAAAAAAAAAAAAGAGTGAGTACTCCTGAATTATCATTTATTGTGAAACTTTGTTCCATATAATGATTAAAAAAAATACTGAAAGAAAGCTGCTTCTGTTTTTCTATCCTCTTAGGTGAGGAGGATTTAACGGTACGTGCACGTACGGCACGTACATGTGGACAAGGCGAGTACGAGCCCGCCCATTGATATCGGTCACGTGTGCAACGTGCGTTCGATTGGAAGTCTGTAAACAGGTGACGTCAGTGCTGCGTCAAGTTGGCAACAATGTGGTAGAAACAAGACCGGATGTGAGCTGATATTATGAGCCTTCAAGTTCAAATACTTTTTTTCCACCCAGATAAAAATCGGGGCATCTTTTGAGTAATTATCAAATAAGCTTGATTTGCCACGTTAAGAAAAATATATATGAAGAGATGTACTTAGTTTATGTTGATAATTCCTTTTATAAAACAATACATATATATTTTTGGATGTACAAAAAGCACACACCATACATACAAACTATTCTGTACAATATATAGAGCATGTTTTATGATGTGTTTTACAGAGAAAATATGTAGAGGTTGCAAAATTGCATGATTATGTCCATTAGAAAATGTGTTTTGCTTTACATTGGAACAAAAAAAAAGTATACACAGTTCTTGTAGACATGTTTACGGACTGATTCCATCAAGATATGATAGGACTGATGTAAAAGATCATCTGACCCATAAAGACAATTAGAATATTCTTATTTGTTCAAAATACTGTTTCTGAATCAGACACATGTTTAAAATAAATGTTTGTGAAGTTATCGAGACACAAAACAAAAATAGCTATTTACTAATATTAGATAGGCTCCTACTGAAATCAAATCAACATGTTCGCCCGAAAAAAAAAAAAAAGGTTCATCAATGACAAATTGGCACACATATCTCTCACAGATACCATTTCTTTATTCACTCAGCTGTGCATCGAGAGTGTCGTCTTTTATTTTGAAAGGCTTCGACGGAAAAGCTGCAAATAGTCCTTGCTGGCTTGCTGCTGCTGGTGTAGAGCCTGGCTAGGGGAGAGAAACCGTGGGAGAAGGTAGAAAACGTATGATTAAAAAAAAGAAGTAAAGTTCAGATTGATAGACATCTGGCAACGGTGAAGAAAGTAACCGAACAGGTAGGTGAACACCTCGACTCGTTTCTCTCATTTACGCTTTGCTCGCCTCGGCTCCTGCTGAAGCCTTTCTGACAAATGGAGGTGAAATGTGGCTCCGTCAGAAAAGAGGTTGCACACAACACTAGATAAACAACATGATGATCAACAACAACAGCTGCAGCAGCAGCAGCAGCAGCGACAGCAGCAGCAGCCGTGCAGGAGAGTCCGCAGCACGCAGCTTAAAGAGAGACAGACGATTGTGAAGGAAGAGGATCAATAGAGAGCAAGACTCATGGTGAAGCCACAGCAGCTAACCTTACAGTAGCTTCAGTGGTTAGCATGGATTGCTGACAAGCTGGTGGAGGTGGCTAGATCTGCAACAGTCAGGACAGAGGAGTTTGCATTGGGTGTTTACATCCACACGTTTAAATGTGCAATCACTCCCTTTGCAATTCTTCTCTTAAAGACAAAAAAAAGATGCACCCTTTACTGCACTAATAGTGACATCTTTTCTTCATCTTTTCAAGGTATCACCAGCAACTTGGCAACATCTCTTCTCTCCCCTGGCTCTCCCAGTGCTTAAGGACACCACCCAACACATCATATCATTAAGTCACCCAGTGCCTCTGTACCTGATCGATCATTAAACTCCTCTTCATCTTCACCAGTGCAAAAAAAAAGTAAACTTACACCAGCAGGACAAGAAGAATCACAAAGGAAGTGATTTTTTTTTCTTTTTAAAAAAAAAAGAAGCATTTTGATCAAAGTCAGATGAACCACAGCTACCAAAGTTTCGTGTCAATATTGTAATCAGCTCAGTATCCAAACCTCTTTTTAGTCTAAACCTTAAAAAAACAAACAAAAAAAAACTCGTCATCACTCATCAGCATTACTCTCGTCACGTCTAACTGAAGAAACCTGCAGACAAACATAGCACCATTATGGCCTCCATCACCTACTCATCCGAGCCCGAGATCCCGGACAACCACAAAGAGAGCTGGCTGGCGCTACTTTCTGCAGCGGAAGCGTATTGCCAAAAGTCTGGCTGTGACCTGGCCATTCTTACGGCTTGTAAGAAGTTCAGGTCACTGGCCGGAGAGGGAGAGGGGGTGAGGAAACGGGAGAGCAGCAGTGCCTTTCCCACAGAGTGTGATTTCTCCTATAACGTGTGGGGGCAAGGCTTTCTTGCCGAGTCGGCGCGTCGCTACATGGACGACATCGGCGTGCTGCACTCCACGACCATGCTAACAGCCCAAAAACACACGCGCCAAGCGGGAGGAGAGGGAGCGACCAAGCTGGTGGTTGACCTTACCTCTGACCCGGCGCATAGAGGGGTGAGTGGCTTGGCGTTCTGATTGAATTCTGCTCTGTGATGCGCATGAAGTAAATCCACAACACGGTGGATTTCTTTGTTGTTCCAGAACTATACAGGAGACGGCAGCGTGGGCGGAGTCAGTCCCAACAGCAGAATGTACTCCCAAAGCTACCCGTCGATCTACAGCTCGGGAGCCCTGATGGGTCAGGGCGCCGCGCAGAACGGCAACGGGGAGAGAGAGAGGGAGAAGAGCCTGCTGGAGGCCGAGCGGGGGAGACAGATGTCGGCCATCGTGGACCTGGAGGAAGAGTGTGAGGATGAGGAAGATGAGGAGGATATGGATGAGAGGAGACCCTACGGGAATGAAAGTGCTGGTGAGGAATGAAGTCATGCACGCTGGTCTTTTTAAACTGGAGTTCTTTTGTTTATCAATTTGGGGGTCTGACTATCTAATATCTAGATACATGTTGGTATTTCTCCAGTTAGTCATTTAAACTTGCAGCGCGTCTTTGATCCCAAAAACAGAATATATGTATCATTTTGCTACAGGGGTCTTCTCGATGGACGAGGACTCTCTATCTCGGGACTGTGAGCCGTTCTTTGAATCCGATGGGGAGGAGGAGAGCACGGATGGTGAGAGTTTTTTTTTTTTTGTGTGTGTGTGTGTCTGTGTGTTCAGACACATCTGTAACAGATCCCAACATGAAAGCCTCATCCACACACTGTAACTTCTTCTTCCTGTCACACAGGCTCTCTGAGTGAGGACGCCCCTCCACCGACGCGCGGCATGGCCATGGGGCAGGCTTCGTACTCGTCCCGGCACGCCAACACCATGGCTCTGGCCCGCTCGCTTCCCGTGTCTGTGCCTGTGTGGGGCTGCAGGGGCGGCAGAGCTGCTCCGGGGGACAACAGCAGTGGAGAACGGGTGAGCACATCACACTAAGTTGTCCCGTACCGTGCAGGACTAACGGGGGCCTGAGCGGTTACCTCTTGTACACAACGCCCGTAATACAACACATGCATGGCTTTACGTAAATATGAAGCGTGCTGAGTTTACAAGACAGGCGGACTGGAAAATAAATAAAAAATACATGGGAGGCGCGGTCGAGTCAGAGTCTGCACATCAGAGAACATGAGAGCTGCTTTGTGGCTTATTTTGAGTCATTTTTAGTGAGGTACAGACAGAACAGGAGCTGGCGGTGTTTTAAGTCAAGCCGGGTGTTTTGTACGGAGTGTCTCCTCCTCGATCGCCCCAGCTAACGTGAGCTACACCTGGGTCTGTGGTGTCTGCAGCGCCGGTTCAGTAGAAGCGTGTTGCTGTTAACATCGCCGCTTCGTTCAAGTTTTTCTTCCTGCACACAGCTTCCAACTCACCATGTTATTCTTGTCTTTAAACTCGAGCGGGTAAAAACAACGTTGGTGTTGTAGAGACAGAAAGCTCACAGCTGAATGATCACCTGTCTGTGTTTGTTTACAGCCTGCAGGATGCTGCTGTACTGACATTAACATAACCTCACTGGCTTGTTTTCAGCTTCTTCACATGAAGAATGAGTAGCAGCTTTAAATGCCAGTAATTATAACGGCATTATTAAATCTGAAAAGTAACTTTTTTGTTACTAGTTACAGCAAATAATAATGGTGTTACAGTAACGCATTACTTAGTAACGCGTTAGTCCCAACACTGGTAGTCACACGTCCATGTTGAAGCCGCTGGAATCATTGAGACAGAGCGAGGGCCCATCTTTGAATGTGAGTGTTATTTTAACAAACCACAACTGATAAATCCTACCCACTCTATCTTTAAGCACAGGCTGTTTTTATTTCATTTTATGATGCAACAACTAACAGCCCATGACCATCAACTAATGTGGTTGTAAAATCTCTGTGACTACAGTTCAAGGTTGTGTGGGTGGAAAATATTTTGCAAATAACCGAGAAATTGAAATAAAATCCCGCCAGACGTTTGTCATAAAAATGAGAAATTGGATTGCAATTTTAAAATTTCTGTCTAGGTTTTTCCTTTTAGCCATCTCAGCTACATACAAAGCTTTGATAAACAGGAAACTCTGCTTGACGTGTTTCTCTACCATCACAACATTGTTTTTTTTTTTTTTTTTTTCCAGGTGGGCTGCGCTGATCTGGAACACATCGCTGCCAGCATGAAGGCCCTGCTGGCCCCCGGAGCCACCGATGGGACAGAAATGTTTGGGGCCTTGCCTCGGCCCCGTCTTAACACAGGAGACTTCTCCCTCAAGCACTGAGAGAGAGAGAGAGAGAGAGAGAGAGAATCAGAACGAAAACATGAAAGTGGAGGGATGTTGTGTAATGACAGGAGAAAACCCGATCAGCTGGCAGATGTGGCGTTCAGTATGTGAAGCAGTGTGAAAGCTAGTACCTCCATGCACTAACCAAAATTAACGGCACATGCTTCGAGGAGTAACTTACAAAAAAATGTTATAAACACTAATGACATCTAAAACACTAGCCCCCCCATCCCCTCTTTGTCACTACACATTTCACAGGGCCACTATCCCACATCACTACAATAGGATCGGACCTAAAGATGTCCAACAGGGACACTAAAACTACCTGGCCGATTGTGAATTGTTACAAACCGTCTGCGCTGATGGAGGTTTGTGGAAGCTTGGCCTCTGGTAAAAAAAAAATAAAATAATCCTATGAGATGATGAGAACCTTAGAAACAGCCGTTGATATGGGGTTGATCGTTGGCTTTGGTGCTGCTCTAATGGCTGATACCATTCTGAGCTAAGTGCTGTAAAATACAGACTGGAAGCAAAGATAAAAGCTAGCCTGACCATGTCCAAATTCAAAATTACTCCCAAAACACCTTTAAAATTACATAAGTAACACCTTAGGAAATCTATTTTTTAATCTGTACACAAGCAGGAATACAATATCGCAAGTTGTAGTTCCCAAGTGTGTCCTTAGCGTTATCCTGCATTAGCATAACGTTGGCAAAACAGAACAACAACCACTGTACTGACATCAAAGGGGTTAAGCTAACTGCTAGCCTTGTAGCCACATCTCATAAACACCTGATTTAAGACGACTTAGCCAAGTTATACTCTGAGCAGTAAAACAAGGGAACATAATAAAGTGCTATAACTAAGTTTTAAAAGAGGTTCATTGATTATATAAGTTCATTACATTGTTTAATTTAGATATTGCTACCAGCATTGGTGGTTTTACTGCAATCTTGAAAATGTTTGTTGACACTCAACCAATGGGAGATATCATTTCTGTCGGTGTAGCCTTTAGCTAGCTGTTTCCCCCTGTTACCAGTAGTTATGCTAAGCTTAGCATTTTCCAGCTCTTGCTTTAGGCCTTGCTATCATACAGGGCAGTAAATGCTAAATTCTTAGCATGTAGCACAAGAGCCAGTGATCTCCCTGAATCATATGGATGTTTTCTCTTCATGCTCTTTTCCTTTAACAGGTAAATAAAACAAAACAGGCTAGTTGCTGTTCACCCCCCCCAACCCGCCCTTTCACCCCTAAAAAAAAACCAAAACATCTATTTCTTAGAGGGTTCGAAAGCAGAGAAATGATTGACTTCACAAGAAGCTTGTGGCGTTTAAAAATGTGAGCGGAGGACACCAGCAACTCCTCCTAACATGCCTGTTTGTACTTTTACTTTTATGCCAATGAATGACTGACTGATAGAATGATTGTAAAAATCGATACCGAGTTAAAGAGGATGGTGTGTTGTGTTCAGTTTTTGTTTTTTGTTTTTTTGCTCCAGTGTAGTGCAAGTTGTTCAGAATGACTGAATGTGTGAGAAACTGTGTGAAAGAGAGAAATAGAATGGTTTGAAAGGAAAAAAAAAAATGTCCATATCTGACATTTTAAAAGAAGCAACTAAGTATTATGTTAAGTACTTTTATGTTTCAATAAAGGAGCAACACCAAATAAAAAAAGAAACGACTCGCTGTGTAACTTCATGTGAAAAGAATGCAATATCTTTAACAGCCTCTAGAGGGCCTCGTTACTTACTGTAAAAGGGAAAAATACAAGTAATGTATGATTCAAGACGCAAATAATTACAGCGTCAGTGATGATACACAACGCAACATTTATTGACTCCATTCAGCACTTGAAAAAGATACAGTTAGCATTCTACTTACTTGAAAACCCTTAAGTGTCACAAAAACAAGACCTTGCCTACAATTTTAAGTTAAATATAAATTGATAAACAGTCGTTAATAAAATAGTTAGACATCTTTGGATATAATATGAAATAAAAATGCTTTCTTCATGCACCAGAGAAAGCAAACACAACCTCCAAAGATATATCACGGTGCTTTACAACTCCCAACACTTGTTCCCCAAACATCACAACCTTTTCATTTCCCTCTTAACAACTTTTAAATGTACACACGTTCTAAACCCTCTGCTGTGTCACTGGTCCTTTTTCCGAATAAGGCCGAACGAATTTGTTCCGACCCAGAACCCAGGGTAGATCTTCTCCTGGATGCTGGCCTTAAACTTGTGAATCAGCCGCACCTCCATCTCGTCCTCGCCCTCCACCACGAGGAACTTGATGATGCCAGCTGGCTGGTCCACGTAGACGCCCATCTTTGAAGTCTTGGGGAGCGTGATGTCCACATTCTCGCCGTTGTGCCACACTTGGTAGCAGGCGCCTGACCAACCGACACCCCAGGAGCCGTTGTTCTCTCCAAGGCCGCAGGGCCCATCCTGGCCCTTCCTGGGTGCGCTGTCACAGACCACCCCGATCACAACCCAGCCATCATAATCCACCTCCCAGTACCCCCGATGACCCAGCAAATTCTCCTTACACAGGACCTAAAGACAGGAGATGAGGTGAGCTTCAGTTCAAAGTTACACAAAATTAAACTTCTACTATGATGGCACTTGGTAGAAAACTAAACTGGATGTAATAGTTATTTTAGACTTTTGGCCACAAAAGCAGGACTTTGACATGATTGCACTGGTAGTGTTTTTGCTGATAAAAATATTTGTTTGTTTCAGGCCTTGTAACAGCTAACAGTTTTACATGATACTTGATTCTTAAATTCTATTTAACACACTTCAGAGACAACAAATAAGTCAGCTGCTGAGTAATGTAAGTAAAATTATTAAAGGGTAAAAAATGTGATGTAAGTGACAACAGTAAGTATTCCTACAGAGACCAGTGGGGTAAAGAAACATTTATTCATTATTAATTAAATGTAGTAGCCTATAATTTGAAGCTGCTTCACTGATGCTGAAGTGTTTACATTCTCAACAATTCTTCTCCAATACAGTTCTAATGGAAATGTTGTACTACACTTGTGAAACAAGCCAAGTAACCATTTAGGTTTTAGACTAGCCCACCTGTGGGGAGTGTTCGTATCTCTCAGGTCTGTTGGGATATGGGCAGACTGCATCGGATGTACGAGCCACCTTTGAACCACCCTCTGAAATCCACAGCAGCTTCTGTGCAGTTTTATCATCCAGAGTGATGGGGATCCAATCTAAGAGCATGAATAAGGAAAAAGGAAATGGAAAAAAAACAATATTCATTTTTGTGCAGACTACTTCCGTCAGCTTTGTAACTATTTTTTTAAGAAACCTTACATTTCATGAAGTCAGCTCTGGTGGTGGGTTCAGGGACATTGGGCTCATATGGCGGCAGCTTTTCTGAGGGGACAAACATCAGAAGAGGGAGATTCATTATAAATCTCATTCATCTCAAGTTCATTTAAAGGTATTGTTGTCCTTTGGTTATTGAGGAAGACTTTCCCACATGTTGGTCTTTACCTTCTTGAGCGCTGCTGTTTTTCCTTCCTGGAAAAGAAAAATAGAGAACGTGGTTACACTGCTACCTGCCACAGTTTGACAACAAGTCCAATACTTGATATTTGAAATATGTTAAAGGCTCTTTATTCATTTCATGTTGAATATCATCAACGAAAAAGGCTTAATTCACAATCACTGACTATAGAAATAGATGTAGCCTCTGGATTTAGAAGTTCCTTAAACCTGCATTATTTCTGACGGCCAGCAGGGGGACTCCAATAGTTACAGAAGGAAGTCTGATTATATTTGAGGTTATGAAAAATGACTGTTTTTCGCTTATTTAGAGAAATTCTCTTACTTTTTCTCCTACTTTGATTTTTGCTTTAATAGGTGACTGTATATTACAGCTCAATAAAGACCCAGCAATGTAGCCTACATATTTAGCACATGGTGGTAACACAATAAAATATAGCAGTGAACAAGGGTGTTGTCAAATTCAATGCCTCGATACTCTGACCGTTACTCATAATTTTTTCAGTTCATGTAATTAAAATTGCCAAAAGCCAAGTTTTCAAGTAAACATGGATGACGAATACACTTCGGCTGGCCAGTTAGCTAGCTAGGGCTAATGTTAGCTGATTACCTCGTATTACGCTAACAACACTTGGAACTTAATGTAGTTGTTTAGTGAAAACCTGATTTACAAAAAGGCAAATAGCTAAAGAGCTTAAGATGTTTGTGTTTGTGTTTCTGGCACATGTGACTGAGTTGAATTGTGTTTGTTACTGTCGTGTAAAATAATGTAATGCATAGTTTCAAGCCTTTGGTAGTGCTATCCACAACTTTGGTGCACACAAATGAGGTCCTGATTTTCTTATTGATGTGACTGTTTGTGTAGTAAAAAAGTAAAAACAAAAAGGATATTAGGGGCTGTAAAAGACTTTAAAACCACAGTTAAAAAACACCAGGATAGCTGGGTTGTTCTTTAAAGGCCAGGGAAAGATCATTACAGTCGTTTAATTTCCTTGGCATAAATACAGGAAGAGGTTTTTTGAAATCTTGTTGGGATATGAAAAGCCAAACCATGCTGGCTTCTCATATTTTTCATAAGCCTCTCTCTTCATTGATGTTTCTGTCCGGCTGTCATTTATCCGTAATAGATCATCAACTACTCTCAACGTGCTGTAAATCAAAGAGGGGAATGAGTGCTATGTGGGCTCAGCACTGATTCATGAAGTTCCCCTCGTGCCAGCGTTGGTTTAGGTTTCAACATAAGGAATTTAAAAGGTCGGAGCATCCACTTGTTAAGGACACACATCATGACCACTGACAGCAGGATTCTCATTCTATGAATATACTTTCTATATGATGCGGTTACTTCTTACTGCTGAGGGTATGTTTGTCATGTTGTGGGCTGGTGTTTGTTCCTCGTCCAGCATGTCAGTCATTTCATCTTCAGACTTTCTCCGAAAAGTTAGATCTAAATACTGACTGGCCTGATCATGATCCGACACCCCTCTGGGTGTGCTCAAGTTACTGTTTTTCTCAGATTTCACACAGTCCACATCATTCTTACTTATCTATCAGATGGTTACATCATCATGTCATCCTTTGCTATGGCCAAATTTAGACAGAAACGCCTCAATTTACCAGTGTCCATGTATGGAGGCTTTCAAAAAAGACCATTGCTGTGTTGTAATGCAAACTTAGACAGAGCACAGCATGTGTAGAGTTTCTATCTATATGTATGATTCTTTTGGGTTAAAAATATGTCTTAAAGAAGTATGGAGGCCAGACATGAAAATAGTTTTTTTTTTTTTTTTTTTTTTGCATTTGAAGAAAATAGTTAAATGTAAAATTAATCAGTAAGGTTACCTTTACTTTGACAACTTTAAAAGTCAAGTTAAATGTCGAGAATAAATACAAAAAACAGAATAATTTCAAACTAAAATAAGAAAGGGAAGATTTTTTCTTTCCATATTGAGAAAAAGGTTGAAATGTACGTTAAAAATAAACGTTCAAATCTGATTTAATTTTTCATACAAAATTGAAAAGTATGACTTCACTCTCGATATTTTTTTTTTATTCTTGACAGCCATTTTTACAGAAAAGCTATACATTCCTCCTGTGTTTATTTTTCTTCATATTAGGGATCACTTGTAATCCTCCATAGCTATAGTACCTCAGGTTTGGGCAGTCACCACATTTTAAAAAGCCCCATTACTACATGCTAAAATAGTCCAAAGTTACATGCCGCAATTATTTGGCTGCAATGTGACATCCAAAAAAGTTTTCTTAATAAAAAACACATGTGGTCAACAGTGTGAGAGAGTTCAAAGCTGACTGTGTCTCTGTGATCACAGTAAGGACGAGCACCCTGAGGAGGCAACTCAGCTCTTTTAAGAGGGATGGTTGATTCCAGCACATATCTGAGCTTGAGAAACTTAGCTACTGCAGCCTGCCTGACCCTCTGCTGGGAAAGACGCCAGCCATGTACCAACTGGCAGGTGTAAATGTGAGCCTGGTATAACATCTGCAGACACCAGATGAGATGAGATGAGATGATGGCATTACTTTCATTCGTTCGTGACGGCCTGTGGTTATTTTCAGTGTTGTTGTCGTTTTCCAAAGCGCAAAGGGCAGACTTTAAAGACCGTTTGTTTGAAGGCAGAGATTCACTAATTTCAGTAATTTTTGCTCAAAGGAAAGAACTAAATAAACACTGCATTGTGGTTTCATTATGTGGAATACAATTCCCTGCATGCATGGGAGTCACAAAGACCTGAAAATTTAATAATTATTTGGCCTACAGAGTGAGCCTAGAAGCTAAGGTTCGGACTACAGACCAAATGAGATTTTGGATGTTTTCAAGTGTAGTTTTGCATAATGTTAGACTTTTATACAAAGTGAGCTTCATTGTTTGTCCATGTACATTGGATAGAAAACATAAAGACAAGCGGAGGGATTTGGCAGGACTGGGAGCGATCAAGTGAAGGCCATGCAATCCTCTTTTGAAATTAGCAGGTATGGAAAACGGTGGTGACAGATCACTTCATCTGTCTTTCTCCCCTTTCTTCCATGGCACCCATAAAGGAACAGAGCAGGTGAGACTAGGACATGATGAAAGAAAAGCCTTGTGGAACAGTGTCATCAAGGCTTTAAGAGGGAATTACTGGAAGACAGACGTCCACCGTGAAGAAATGAGTCCTCAAATCTATAAGATGTTTCTGGCTTCTTCTCCCAGGGGATTGAAGCCAACAACTCGTGACCTTGGAGTGAGATATCAAGCTGGCAAGTGAGATGGCTGATTGGAGATATGCCATCCGTCCAGTTCGTCTAATCCCCTGCATATTGCTCTCCACACCCAACAGGATCAACAGAAAATCCCCACAGAGATAAACAGATGCTCAGAAAGATTGATGACTTGACATCACAGCCACAGAGGGATTGAGGGAAGCAAAGTGTGAGGAATAAAAATGTTTAAGGGCAGCAGGACCAACGGCAACACCTCATGAATCAAGTCAGGAATAAGGGATGCATATCTAAATGAAACTGCTTAAGTTTGAGTTTAAACTGCAAAGAAACACAGCTGGAATTTTAATAAAAATGAGAAAATTTTGAGAAGACCTTGTTAAAGACAAGGTAGAGTTTGGTCTTCATTTCGAGTCATTTACAAGGTACAACAGACAAGTTTTGTCCTTGTGAGCACATGTTTGAAAGAGCTCAACCATAAAGGTCAACGTTGGATGCTGTCTTCAATGTCACGATGGACAGTGACCCTCCCCAGATTCCCCTCTCAGTGGGACAGAGCTACATAATCTGTGCAGATCAGGTTCAAAACATCCTACTGAGACAGCAAGATCAGAAGCTCTTAAGATGAGCGAATGTGGCGGGGGCCCAGACTCATCCCTCTGGTTCCTGTCAAAACTTCCTGGCTTAAAGCCCTGTGCATGAGCGCTGACCACACATGGTTGGTTTTAAAGGAAATGCAACACTTTGAGACGTGGATGGGTAAAGAAATTGGAACAAAGAAAGAGAAAAAGAAAAGGGACTGGTCAGTACAATTTGAGTCACCCTGCACAGAACTACAATGTGAAATGTTTTTTAAAATAATATTTAGTGAGTTTAATGCAACCGGCATTAGCTCATCATACAAGTTTATAAGACGATATTTGTGTCAGACAGACAAAGAAAACTTGAAAGGACCAGGGAGAAGTCAAAGTTCAGAGACCTGTGCTGTATGTTACATAACAGCCCGAATCAAATTGTCATAAATCAAAGCCAGGCAGTCTTTCATATTTTGTTGACTTGAGTTACTGTGCAGCATTTCACACTTATTCAGTGTGGCTGCCAGGGGAGACAGTTGTAACATTTGTAAAGATGAGTTTGTCTTCATTATCAAAGCGATTTTGCAATGTGAGACAGAGCGCAGGGATCAGAGATATACAAAAAAATAAGCAGGGGCAAACTATCTTCATACTTGAGAGTGGAAGAGGCATGAGGCAATGCTGAGACAGATGCATTGGGAGAAAATTGAGACTTTGAACGCGTTCCAGTAAATGCAGAAGATACCATATCGACTTGATGGAGAGGAGTTTCATGGTTTTTGTTGACGTGAGTAATGGGATTGAAGAAAAATAACTAAATTAGTTATGATGGATGATACATTAGTGTGATGTAACTTTATTACATCAAATAAACACCAGATTGAGCACTTTATAATGGTAAAAAAAAAACCAATGAGACGCAATCAAAAAATGTAACCTGTTCATAAAGTGGAAAAAATGAATAGCTAAAATTGTTCACTTTGTAGTTTACAAACACACTTCAATTTAACTTTTGAGGTAGACTGAAGTATAGTTAATTTTTTAATTCTATATTTCTTATATTGATACGTATTTGATGCCAAATGACAAACAGGTGACGCTCTCATCTTGTCTCATAAAGTCAAGTCCCTCACAGAAATGAATAGGAGGAGGGTTTCTTACCAGCTTTCTTGGGCACAGGCATGGTTCCCTTTGTGCTCCAGGTGCTGTTTGGCATCAAACGGGGGGGCTTCTTTTGATAATGCTTGTGCGTCCCTGGAGGGTCACTCTTATTGACTTCCTAAAGCACGGGAGGGGGGGAGGAGGGAAGTTTTGGTTGGTTGTAAAGGATGGTCACTGTCATGACACATGAACCTTTCTAGGGATCAGATGGAGACAAGAAAATACCCAGTATACCCTAAGTATTCACGCTCATTTGCATACACATGGGACGAGCATGTGAGGGATTTACACACCCAAGATGAGAAATGATACGAACAAATCTGAGGTTTCTTTTAAATGAATGGAAGAAAGATTTTGCAGCAAAGTGGGAGTCAAAAATCGACGCTGCTTTTCTGACATATTTCTAAGGACTCTGTTGACAAAATTCAAATGGTTGGCTTTGTTTTGTTACCTTTAGCAACATGACCAAAACTGACCCAAGGGTGACAGAATTTTATTTAAACTGACCCTGAAACATGCTATAGGTGTTTGTTTCTGCAAAGAGGAGCCAGGGCGGTCAGTATGTAAGATGGAAGCCAGCTACTCACTGGGAGACCTGTCGTCGGACTCCAGATCCCATCAATCAACAGCTGCTGTAGGGGCACTCTTGCAAAGAACTTGGAATAACGTGTACTGAACTGCTGATGTGGTCAGAGCTTGAAAATAACAGCTTGTAAGTAGTCCGCACTCACAGATATTAATGACATTTCAGTCTCCTCAAGTGACCACTTTTAATTAATCACGTTTATTTGTAGTGAGCCATTTAAATGTCAGAATGTTGACTTTAATTATCCAAAATTAAAATGTTATTCAGTTACTGCAATGGCTTTTTTCCTTTTAAAGAACTTTACCATTTGTTTTGTATGCCAAACATACAACATTGTCATTAGGTTTCTTTGTTTGAATTTCATTCATTTTCTTAAGGGAACATTGTGCATATAGAATGGTATGAATTGTTAAACCTTAACAATGCAGAAGCACAACTTCAATCAACAACCAAGTAAAACCTCACAGTCCAGTAAGTCATAAACAAATCAATGCTGGAAACCTTGTTGTGGTGCAATTTAAAAAAAAAAAAACTTGCTACATAAGGGAAAGTTATGGGGGTTGTTTGTGGGGCTGGGTCTAATCAGAGGAGGGTGGGTTTGTGTAAAATCGGCCAGATTAAGGGAAGTCCTAACTTGAGGGTAAAAGGGAGTATACATGAATAGCAAATAAGTAGACTGAATTAAGAAATGTCTATGAAAACTGGAAGACCAGACTTATTAACCTTATTGGTTACGTTTGGAACATACGAAAAGCCTTGAACCCTTGGGTGCGAACAAGCTAAAAACAAATAAGGCTATAACAAAGGGATATTGGCAAACAAAAAAACATGCTAGGCAGTATTCATAACATTTCTCATGTGAAATGGATACAATCTACATGAACACCAGGTTGCTTATTTCTTAAGCCCTCAAGAGTTTTTTTTAAATGTTTTAGCTAACATCACCTTTAGCTAGAAATTTGAATTGTGTAAGTGCAATAAACATAAATGTTTACAAAGAATTGGCTAAAAGCTAACATTAGGCAGCAGCCTCATTTCCAGAAGCATTCACTTTATTCCTGTAGCTAACTTGACCGTTAGCTACACATTGTTTTGTTTTGTTTTGTCATATGGTTAAATTTATGTTAGCTACTAACTTAATGATGCTGGTCTCGATATTATTGATGATGATGATGGTAATGACGATGGTTTTTGTTTGATAACGATGACTTATAAGATGGTTTCTATACTGATTAGAGCTCTCAATAACTGCAGTCAATGTTGTGCTTTGCCTCTGTGCAATGCCTGTCAGCACCTGTGTGTCCAATCGGACTCAAAGCTGATCGTTTGCTCTTACTGACATTGTTCCCTTTTTTCTAGATCCTTGCTTGTGTTGTACTTACTCTCTGATGTACGTCGCTTTGGATAAAAGCGTCTGCTACGTGAATTGTAGAATTGTAGCTAGGCACTGGCTCTTCAAACATGAAGTGTCGTCTAACGTTAGCTTACAGAACGATGTTATCTTTCTCCATGTCTCTTCAATTGCTATACAATTGGTAAGTTGTGAATTGATAACAGATTCTGTGAACAACCACAGTGTATCAGATGTGTGTCTTATACTTTTAAAATACACAAAAACAAATATATGATTTTTGTACTTGAATATAGCACTTAGCTAAAATACTTTACTGCATTTCAAAACTGAATGGATCAGCTCTCTCTGCGAGATGATGGTATCACAAGTAGAAAGGTATAAAAGTTCTTATTTCTTATTCTCCGCAGCACTCAAAGACAGTAATACATGCTCAAGAAGATGATGTTTTACTGCTGAATTTAAGAGGTATTCTCCCAACAGTGAGCCATCATATTTAATCGGGTACTTGGTGTCTCTCGTGAACCTTTGGGTCTAGAGGGCTTCTTTCAAAGGCATGTCTTAATTGATAAAACTTAATAGGAAATAGCTCCCTGTCACGAGAAAGCGTCCCCCTGCTATTAAAAACAGAATTTTAATGAAGCCTAAGTGCCCGCTTAGCACTGACTCCTTTAATACCAGATATGCTCTTTGAGAGGCATGAAAACAAATTTCAACACCTGCTGCTTACTGCTGTCAGTGAGAAGGCTTAAATAGTATTGTACCATGACCTTTGGGTGCGTTTAGGAGTTCTATGCACAACACTATACACTCAACGATCACTCTGTAATATGCCAGTGTACATTACTAGCAGGCTTGGCCATTAAACATCCTATCGTGTTACTTCATTACACGCTAACATGATGGTGCCATGGTGACATGTATAGCCGCGGGATACAATAAGTGTGAGGCTGTAATCTGTGAAGGCCTGCTGGGATGCTTTTCAGGGACTGTCGAGACTTCCCCTTGTCATTTTTGTCGCTCTCACCTGATTGACAAGGCAGGTGCTTCCTCCTTCTCACTCTCTGCCCAGTGTTTCTGTGCAAGTGTGTTCTGCTCTCAGTATGAACACTGCCAAGAGTGTTCATGTGTCTATTAAACTAATGTTTAATGGTAGATGGTATTAAAAAAAAAAGTCTTTGGTGGAAAAAAAGAGTAACTATATAAAAACATTATTTTACAAGTTAAAGTTCAAGTCCTACATTAGTAAAAGTTCAAAAGTAATGTTAGCTTAATGTAGCTGAAGCTAAAAGAATGTGTTTCGGGAACAAACTGCCCTTGAATGATAGCGATTCACCAACACAGCTGCTTAAAATGTTAGTAGTATTTCTATTGCTTTAAACAAAATAAATTTGATAGATATTTCCAACTGTATATTCTCAGAGACCGTATCACACCAAGCTAAGAGGTTATGTAATCTAATTAAAGATGAAATATTAAATAAAAAAAAATTTAGCTAAATAAAACTTGTTTATTTTACCCCCAAAAAAATCTGAATGTAGAAACATGAAATAACTATCTCAAAAAACAACATAGATCATTTTGTTGAATATACGTGTGAACATGTTCATATTTTTAGTCACAAGGTCTTTTGACAACAGGTACAATTAGAGTATTTTTAATTACTGTATTCCCTAAAAACTGGTACATTTGGTACAGATTTGAGTAATTGATCCGGCCTGATCATCGTTACTAACAATGCATAGTGAAAGTGTCTAGATTTACAGGGTGAAAACGACACGCTAAAATCAACAGCCCCTCCCCACAGCTTTAGTGCAACATTAACCTTGTAACTGCTCCTAAATCATGACATATACTTAGGGGGGGTCCTTCCCAACATATGGTGTCTTGCTGACATTCATGGTCTCCAAGCGACACATAGCCATGACATTTATGAGTTACGGCTCCTATGCTACTGACATCCCTGTTTCATATTTGTTAACTCCCCTCCTCTCCCCATCCACACTCTCTGTTGTGTTCTTCTGCCGTAATCTTCTGTATTACATTTTGGTCCTGTTATCTTCTCTTCGTTTCATTATAACCATTTGGGCACTTAAACATCTAGTCAATTAACAGACACAGGTTTACAGGAAAATGATTTACAGCCTGAACAGTTTGAGTGTAGTGGGAAATGCTCTGCATTCATAAATGACACAACAGGAAGAGAACTATAAAAAGTAACTAGTTTCGCATGCTTGGTTGTCATGGGGGGGCTACCCCGATACATAATGTGTTTCGTGCATCAATTGACTGAAAAAACAAATTGTGATTAATCACAGTAGAGGCTGTGATAAATCATGATTTTAGGCACAAATGGATTTACCTTCAAAGATTTCAAGTGGGGCCCAGACCACCCTGGCCACCCATTGGATCTGCCCCTGTCACACAGAGTCCATCCAGCTCATCGTGCACACCACTAACAATCCAAAGGTGCTTATTATGCAACATTATGGAGGCACGCACAACTCAGAAAACGATGCTTGCACTTTGCACAATTTCATCCAGATGTTTACAAATACTCCAACTTGAGCACATACAGTATGCGTATAGCCTACCATTACATAGTTGTAAAAAATTGCAGTAAGGGGATAGTACTATCCCTCATGACTGACTGGCCTGCCTTGGATTGCTCACCTGTTTTGTTTTTTTACAATTTTGGAAGTTCAATGGCATGATTCAGACCTTAGCGAAAGAAATTCACAACATTCAACCACAGGAACTGTGTATGTTGCTTGTCTGTTTAGTTTTTTTTTTTTTACTTTCCCATACATAATTGCAAATTAAAAGTATAGTAGAGCATCCAGTGGGCAGAAGCCAGAACATTCAATCTCTACAAGGGAAGACCCCTACGGGGATTAAAACAAAGAACCAGCCTGCTGTGATGTGTCAGCCCTAAACACCACACTAACAGGCTAGCTTTATGTGCTTTCCAATTCACTTTATGCAATTTCAAAGTGTGGTCCATACTGTGAAAGCTCCCATGTGAATCCAAAGACTTCAAAAGGCATTTTCAGGTTGCTTTCTACCAGGCATTAGGAAGAATGCAGGTTTAAAACACATCCTTTTTTCCACATTGGCTTCGCTCTTTAGACCTGTATGTCCACAGTTCATGGCTCTGACTCACACACAGGCAATAATAGCAGATCCCACTAAATCATAACATGAGGGTTACGCTTGAGGATTTGCACATCATTTCTGGACTACAGGCTTCTCTGAGTGACTTATAATTTTAACATCCTTTACTGGAATTTTTTATTTATTTTGTTCCTGTTTGGTGTGTGTTCATTTAAGCCCTATTTCATGTTCCTTACTTGTTGAAAGCAGCATATGTTTGTGTGTGGTTTAAATGTACATGCAAACACAGAAAATTCCACTCTCAAAGATCACAAAGTCATGTGTCTCAGTGTCAGTTTCCACCAGCTTCCTGGTAGATGGAAATACATCACACCCCATGTTGAAAGGCCTCCCATGATGCAACTGGTGTTTATGTTCAACAAACATAAACAAACATCTGAGATTGATTTAATATGGCAGAATAAGAGGCTTCTTTGTTGGGTAGGAAATTTATTTAAAAAAAATGTCTTATTGTGCTCCTCTGATGATGTTGCTTAAAACACAGATCCAATCACCAACTTGACTTCCATTTAACCTTTGACCTCGCCTGACAGAAGCAGATCTCTTTACAAACAAATGACTCTTTTCCTCCAGCTCCCTGCATTAAGTGTCTCCTGTTTCCCTTCACTGTATTTATCACCTTATTTCTCATGTTGTTCATCCAGAAGTAAATGAAAAGCAGCCACAGAGAAGGACGGTGCTTAAGTGACCCGTGAGGTCATTCTGAGAAAGACCTGCCTGCCGATTAGTCAGGGCCAGAGGCCATTGAAGTGTTGAAGCTCAACCCTGAGTCTCCTTAAATAAGTGAATATTTATCACAGTTGGAAACTAAAAGCAGCCAGACTGACTGACAAGGGGAAGAAGATAGGCTCTGTTGACACAATGTTCTGGGACATTCTGTTTTTCTTAAAGTTAAAGAGAAATGTTTTTCATCTTTTTTTTATTATTAGAAGTGTATATCAATTCATTTCATATTGATTTTTTAACAAGATTCTTCTTGTATTGAATGATTTTTAAAAAAAAGTGAAGTACTTACAGACAGCAGGTAAAGAAAATATATAATTTGGTTCTGAGTTCTGAGTTTAATCCCTGTCTGAGTAATTTTAAACAGTTGAACAATGAAGAAATTAAATTCTCTGATCCTGTCAAAAAAACTGTTGAAAAATTCCTTCCAAGTCTTTCAAGTTTGAATATGCCTTTCTCCAAATGTTATAATTCTGTGCAAGAAATGTCAAAACCGTCATGTTGAGAAATGGTATGACAGGAGAGACAACTGCACTCACTGTATAATCACAGGAAACTAGAATAAGCCCATGTAAACATTGATGTGAAGCATTAGGAAAAGCATCCCTGCCACTTGTTTGGGAACAGCAGCAGCTGTTCTTATCCCATCGGGGTAAACCCTGCCAGTATTATGAAGGATTAAACTGCTGAGAAGAGGCTTTCTACTTCAAACGTGGTAAACTGACACGGAAGAGGCTCTGGTTTATTTATAATTAAAAGCCAATTGCAGTATATTCTACTTTAACAGTATTAACACTGAAATAATCATAACAAAAGAAGACATCAACATCTTTTTGCAGTTTATGCTGTTCTGATTCTAATAGTACAAGTATAATATAACATTGATGCACTACAATGTGATATATTTTTGATACTAATAATGGTTATTGAGAAAATGATTTTATTCCTTCACTCTGATTCAACTAGTGCTGATACTGAATGTAACCCATACCACCATAACTTCAAACACAGCATCATCATCATCATCCATGTGTCCTTATTGCAAATACAAATCTCAAACTGAATTCTTAATACTTCTATCATATATGATAAATTGGATTTAAAAAAAAAATCCCCAGTCTCCAGTAATAGTAGACAGTCTCAAACGTTTATTACATTTTCAAACAAGTGAACCTGATCATTTTATTGGTAACCTGATAACTGTGAGTAGCTAATGGATGGATGTAACGGAGTTTCAACTCAATCTGAATCTCTAAGAACAAAGAGTCACATCATCAGTGTCAAGTAATAAATACTTTATTTTCACATCAGTATTAAAAATGCAGTCACCTATGGGTTTAACTTGTGTTTGTGTATTAATCCTCCTTAAACAGAATTCTGTACAGCAATGTTAATCTGTCTAAAGCCAGTTATTCTTCAGAAAATGTTTAGTACAATAAAGAAACTGTTGTCCAGTCCATCATCTGCCACCTCCATTAGCTGCCCCACCCCCGGCTCCTCCGCCTGATTGGTCCTGAGCGCCTGACATCATCAGGAAGAGAACAAGCGGCACGATGTACATCCACTGGAGAAGAAGACAAGGGCAAAAAAGGATATTAACAAAACTATATGTTTGTTCAAGATGACTAATTTAGCTGTGATTACAGAGTACTTTTCCCGATCAGGTCATCCCAGATTAGGTTTGAGTTATATTCTAAACAGAGGAGGAGAAAAGGTTAAGTGCGAAAGTGGTGAGATAAAAGAGAAATCTCAGGATCAAACGCCAAACACATGTTCAGCATAATCAACCAGACAGTTAAGATTTAAGATGTCTTGAATGTTTCCAATGGAGGCTTTCTTGTACAAAGACTTGAGAATAAAGAAAACTTGCAATTATCCATCTCAAATGTATTTGGTGTTGAACCTGAAGTAAACTGTGAAAGAGTAGAAAAGGGGGCAATGAGTTGGAAACAAGGAGGTGAGTTTCAGTTAGTCATATTACAGAGGAGGGAAACATAATTTGAGAGAGGAGGAAGGGGGACAGAACGAGCCACAAGTAAGAAAACAGTACTTCTGTGGGAATCAGCTCTGCTCTCTTCCTCCCCCTGCTGGGGGCTGTGCTGAATTGGTGACCATGAGGAAGATTGCACCACCCAGAATCAAATACCACTGGAACACAGCACAGCACCGAGTCAACAAAATGTCACAAGGTCACTGAACAAAGCAAGACACACACACACGCACACACGCACACACACGCACACACACACACACACGCACACACACAGCGCAACAAGCTGGAGGAGAGGTCATACAGAAGCTCAGAGGAGCCGAGTCAAAAAGAGACGAGGACAGTTTCTCTGTGTTTAAAAAACATGGAGCTTGAGTGAGGAGAGCTTTGCACTCCGACTGGCAGCTCAACATTAAGAAGACAGAGTCTCAAAACTGCTTTAAAAATAACAATACCAACTAAACTATACCACTGAATTTGCTGGCAAAATAATCTTGGATGACGAGTCAACTTGTATGATCAAGTCAGCAGAATCAAACAGAAGAATGGATGAATAGATGTGGGTCCCAAACTATGACACCATGATAATAAACAACAAACCTGTTTGGTTCTGAGTCACAAACTTTTTTCCCTGGAGCTCCCCCTACTTGTAGCCGAGAAAAACTGAGCCCTACACTTTCTCCTACACTGTCTTGTCTTTTCCTGTCAATACACTGATTTTGGCAAAGGGAGTTTTGATTATATTATTTTGTCTGCAGGTGATTGAACAGCTAGAGCTGGCATCCAACACATCCCAGGGGGCGGGCATATTACTGTTCATAAACATGTCAACATATAAATGAAGCATTCTCCCCTGAGTAGACAAAAAGTGGGTTTTTTAAGGTTTATACAAATCAGTGAGTAACCAGTCAGACTGTAGGACTTAAAGTTTACTCCTTAGGGCTTCTTGGAGAATAAAACAAAAAACTGGTCTAGAAATAAAGTAAACAATGCATCTTTTCCCCTTGGTCTGATCCAAATAAACTGAAGCAAATGCATGAAATGGTTCTTATACTGAGAATCATTGAATCAGACAGTGACAACAAACCAAACATTTGCAATAATTAGGACTTTTTCAAAGACTTACATTACTGACATGTCCTTTATCATTTATTTAAACAAATGCTGCAGGCAAGTTGTGTATAAGAAGTTGGAGTGCTTCTGATTGAGCTTGAAAAAACTGAATGAACTAAATCAGCATTTCATGTTTTCATTAACTTTATGAGCTATTGCATATTACAGAGATCAGAGAAGAATTACCAAAGGCAAAGTGAATATCTTTAGGAACAGCGTGCCAGCCTTATCTGCAGTTTTCAGCGGGACTACTTACATATTTAGCAAAGAACGATTTCTGCTCCTGTGGATTCTTTTCTTTCTTCGCAGTTTCCAGATCCATTCGTTCAAGGAACAGAGCTGTCTCGGGCCTGAAAGAAAGCAGGTAATTAGTATTCAAAGAAACACAAAAACAGACGGTGTATTTGAAAGTCAGACTTGTTTCTTCCTGTGGGGGGAAAATTATGTGAGGCTTCTTTGCAGAAAACTGAATCAAAGAAATCTAAACAAAGAAGCCACCCAAGAGGATTTCACTTCTGCAGACAGCCAAGATGTGGATGGTAGAAATGTACTCAAGCTTATTTAACAAATCAAGAACTGACCCTGGTGCATTAACAGGAGCCATTATGCTGAGTGTGGTGTTGAAAATCTCAAGATCAACTTCATCCTCGACCTCGGTGCCCCTGCAGGCTCCAGGTATTGTCACTATGGAGATGCCAATTAGGTACCCAGACACGTCAGTGTGGATGCTGATGACGTCGCTCAGATGGGACTCAACCATGGCACACTGAGGATCAGAGCAGAATAGAAGTTATAATCAGAACAAGCATTAGGAAAGATTTTTAATGTTACCCTGAAGGATTAAGTTGCATTACAGTTGCTCTCATTCCAGAATATAAATTTAAGTATAGTAAGAAGTAGATATATAATAAATACTGAAAAAGTATATGCATTATTCTTTTATGAAGCATGATCCCATATCTGCTACGGCAATAATATTTCCATTATACTTCAATAAAAATCACTACACATGGGATCTATAAATTCCTTCTTTTAGTATTAAACCGTTTACTGTAGCAAAGCAGTGCACAGAAAAAGTATTAACTAATCATTCATACACCGCCCACAAAACAGCGAGAGTAATTGGGGACTATGTGTCTCGCCCAAGGACACATCTGACATGTGCCGCATGAGCTGGGGATCGACCCCTCAACCTTCCAGTCGAGAGAAACCGACTCTACCAACTGAGCCACAGCTGACCCTAGTAGCAGCCAGCGGCATAAGAGTTTAGACATATTTATTGTTCGGCATTGTGGTCCTGAATGAATTCAAATGTTAATAATAAGTTAAACCGATTTGTGATTCTGGGACCGACCAGCAAAGATGCAGGCTGTAAGTTTAGCCAGCTAGTTCCCAAAAACAACCAAAAAATATCTATTAATAATTTTTTCAAAACAAAGTACATGGCCCTAAATACATAAAGACCTTGAAAATAGATGTCATTTGATTAACAAGCCCCAGGGCGTATCAAAATCAATAAATGTCTCAATGTGCTGATACTCTCACTCCTCTAATAAAGTTGTATTAAATAGAAACTGTAAACATCTTTTTGCAGTATACTCTCCTGGTAATATATTATATACATAAGATAAGTTAAATACACACAGCTCTGACAAATGCTGTGAGGTATCCCTCCATCTGGCGCTCTGTCTGTCGGTCTGCCTGCAGGAAAACACGAGGAACTCTGATTCTGTACAGACCGTCCACTGCAGCCACTTCCTGTGGAGTCATTCAAAACAAACATGTCAGAGATGCAGGAAAATGATCTGTTTTGTTTAGTTTCTTAGGATCCCCATTCCTCCTGGGGTCCACAACAGCCATTACAGTGTGACTGTGTCAACTTACAACTTAAAACCAATGTAACACTCGTGAAAATAAACAACACTCTTGTGATAGCTCAAAGTCTTTTTTCAAACTCTAGTAATTATTAACCATCAATGCCCATTTTGCTGCTGTCACAAGACAGTTTTGTTTGTGGCATGGGTATGAGCATAATGTGTCCCAAAGGTAATTAAGCTTGTAGTTAAAAAAATGAGAAATAAAAAGCTAAAGATCCTGTTAATAAACATTACTTCAACTTCCTCCTGTTTTACCTTCAGTTTGACCCTGTCTTCTTCAGAAAGCTGGTTCTGACTGAGTGAGAGGCTGTGCTCCCTGCCAGCTTTCAACACCAGCGCTCCACGCACACGAAACTTTGCTACATCATCTGAAACAAGGAGGACAAAGGGCATATAAACCTAACAGGTAGGGCATAGAAAGATAAACAGGTAGGGCATAGAAAGATAAACAGGTAGGGTAAATAAAGGTAAACAGGTAGGGTAAATAAAGATAAACAGGTAGGGTATATAAAGCTAACAGGTAGGGTAAATAAAGATAAACAGGTAGGGTATATAAAGGTAAACAGGTAGGGTATATAAAGATAAACAGGTAGGGTATATAAAGATAAACAGGTAGGGCATATAAAGATAAACAGGTAGGGTATATAAAGGTAAACAGGTAGGGCATATAAAGATAAACAGGTAGGGTAAATAAAGATAAACAGGTAGGGTATATAAAGATAAACAGGTAGGGTATATAAAGGTAAACAGGTAGGGTTAATAAAGGTAAACAGGTAGGGTATATAAAGATAAACAGGTAGGGTAAATAAAGATAAACAGGTAGGGTATATAAAGATAAACAGGTAGGGTATATAAAGGTAAACAGGTAGGGTATATAAAGATAAACAGGTAGGGTAAATAAAGGTAAACAGGTAGGGTATATAAAGATAAACAGGTAGGGTATATAAAGATAAACAGGTAGGGTTAATAAAGGTAAACAGGTAGGGTATATAAAGATAAACAGGTAGGGTATATAAAGATAAACAGGTAGGGTATATAAAGGTAAACAGGTAGGGTTAATAAAGGTAAACAGGTAGGGTATATAAAGGTAAACAGGTAGGGTATATAAAGATAAACAGGTAGGGTAAATAAAGGTAAACAGGTAGGGTATATAAAGGTAAACAGGTAGGGTAAATAAAGGTAAACAGGTAGGGTAAATAAAGGTAAACAGGTAGGGTATATAAAGGTAAACAGGTATGGTATATAAAGGTAAACAGGTAGGGTAAATAAAGGTAAACAGGTAGGGTATATAAAGGTAAACAGGTAGGGTATATAAAGGTAAACAGGTAGGGTATATAAAGGTAAACAGGTAGGGTATATAAAGATAAACAGGTAGGGTATATAAAGGTAAACAGGTAGGATAAATAAAGGTAAACAGGTAGGGTATATAAAGATAAACAGGTAGGGTATATAAAGGTTAACAGGTAGGGTAAATAAAGGTAAACAGGTAGGGTATATAAAGGTAAACAGGTAGGGTATATAAAGATAAACAGGTAGGGTAAATAAAGGTAAACAGGTAGGGTATATAAAGGTAAACAGGTAGGGTAAATAAAGGTAAACAGGTAGGGTATATAAAGGTAAACAGGTAGGGCATATAAAGATAAACAGGTAGGGTATATAAAGATAAACAGGTAGGGTAAATAAAGATAAACAGGTAGGGTAAATAAAGGTAAACAGGTAGGGTATATAAAGATAAACAGGTAGGGTAAATAAAGGTAAACAGGTAGGGTATATTAAGATAAACAGGTAGGGTAAATAAAGGTAAACAGGTAGGGTATATTAAGATAAACAGGTAGGGTATGTAAAGGTAAACAGGTAGGGTATATAAAGATAAACAGGTAGGGTAAATAAACAACTGGATGACAAGCACCTGTCACATCTGTTTTATATTTCACACAGGAATCTCAGGAAGTAACTCATTGACAGTTTAGAGGATGTTCACGCCTGCTGAACATCATAAATAATGTTTTAATACATCAAATAAAAAACTTTAGTTAAATAGACAATTTAGTGGATGAGATGTGAGTCGGCTTCTTCAATCAAACGCTGTCATCCGGGGTATCTAGCTAACCAGCATTAATAATATCATACCACATCTGATAAATAAAAACAAGTTAAAAGAAGGCTTTCTCACCGACTTCAAATGAGTGCTCAAGGGGCACGGAGAAACCACTTAATTCAGTGTCCATAACATCGCCAACCTGTTAAAAAAATAAATAAATGTGAACGCCACAGTTAGCCTTCTGACGGACGAAGCTAATGCTAATGACAGAGCTGACAGGAGCAGCTTCCGCTTTAACCGTACTCAGTCGTTGGGTTATATGGATACAGGTAAATACTTACTCTTCGACCGGTATTACAACAAACAAAATCCGTGTTTAAGGCAAACAAAACAGTGAAAATAACAATTTCTGAGTGTAATAGACGAGCCATTTCAGATGCTCTGCACAGCGGAGGCTTCTTCTTCTTCTTCGCTGGAGTTAAACGGTAGTCGATATCCGTTTTGTTCGCATTACTGCCACCCTCTGGTTCCCCCTATTTTGCAGCCTACCTACAGTCGAGTAAACTGTCCAGTCTCATTTGGGCATGAGGTCTTCCTTTTGCGATTGGGTCTGCTTATACACTTTCTTATGTGCTTGGAAAAATAGAAATGTTTGTATTATTGAGCTTGTGTCCCATTTTTAATAAAGCCGTCCCTGGTTCAGTTTCCATAAACAACTACATAATAAAAGATATAGAATTAGCTCCCCAGGTTAATTCTGACATACACCTCATGGCATTAATTATATTTCTATATTGTGGCTGTATTTAGCCTACTTGTTCTCTCCAATTCAATCTTGTATCAAAGTACATCCCTGAAAAAAAAAGGAAAACTCTCCTCTTTCTCGATGCTATTTCAACACACATTTAAACTTTACCTTAGTTTCTTTCAAGTCAAATTAAACTTTTGTCTTTTCCTCTGAGTTTTCAAATCCCTGCTGTGGGCCCCACTTTTTTTTTTTAACATTATTAATTAAATCTACCATTCTCCTCACTATGTCCTTAATATTTCTCCCTCATTTCCAAAGTCTTCCATGATCTGCAAAGAGTGATCTCACTGGAATATTTATATCATTCACTGTCAAGACTCAACTATAACAGCATGAGAGTGTTTTTTTATTGGGTATTTTTTTCTTGAAAAGCTCATTTGGGAGGTTTTTGTAGGGTTAGTCTAGACTCTAGCTCATAGGGCAGATCTTACCTTATCTTACCTTTACTTTCAAATGTACCCATGGTTGTCATGGAATCAAACGATTCAAATGATCAATCACAAAAGTTCAATAGTTAATCCCGATAATTGCATTTTAAATCACGTTTGAAATTTCAAAATTGTTAGGCTTTTATTTTGAATTTTTGTACTGCTAGTACTTAACTTGCTGTTTGAATTCAACCCTGCTTTTATTTTAGAAATAATAAGGACCTTCTGGTAGATCAAGGGATTAAAGGAAATTTACTTAACCTCAGAAAAAAGAACTTGTTAGGATCAAAAACTAAGTTAATTCAGTGATTAACTAGTTGATGCTGACAGCCCTTTTTTTAAGACATTGTATTTTTGCATCTAAAGCTGCTCCTGTGATGCACTTTTGGTTTGCATTGATGTTGGCACACCATGTGGATAAAGTCTCAGCTCTTGGCTCATCCTGTATATTTGTAATAAGCGTTCTGACCGTTAAATCTCCTCATGCTGTCTTTTGACGGTTATTAAAGTCACTCACTGTGAAACTGTGCAGAGGAAAATAACAACAAAGTCTGTTTCAGCAGTGTGCAGGTCACACTGGCCATCCGTACCGTGCCCAAGCCAGTTCAACCCTAAAGTCCAGTTCATTTGGCCAGTGTGACCGCGCCCTAACTCAATTCATCTGACACCTATACCCGCCGACAGTCGTTAAAAGAATTAAAAATAACTATGTAGAAGATAACAATCTTGTTGCTGATCGCTTGTTTGCTGTTGTAGCTCATAAAGTGTCATCAGTCTTAATTTCAGTCAGTTTTATTACCAGCGTAGAACTTCACACAGGATCTTTAAAAGATCATCTACTGTATGTGGACGGAGTAACAATGGCCCACACACACACACACACACACACACACACACACACACACACACACACATGCAGAGTAACTTTGTGCAAGCTGAGCTTTTTCAGATATGTGATGACCTACTTGCATGCATCATGTTTACAAATAATATAATATGTATCATCTTGATTTTATTGTCTGCTTCTTAATGTTACAGTGTTGTCACTGCTGTCGTCTTTGAATTAGTATTTTTAGCATTTTGCTCACAGAGTAGGTTCATGTCTGTTGACAGAATGCCACTAATGAACCACGACTGGATTTAGGCTGCTGTCTTGTAACCTGTCAGAAGACATTTCTGGTACAATTTCATTTCCCTCTTCTTTGCAGAATAAAGAGGTTGATTTCTATTTTGAGTCTGCTAAATTTCAGCTTAGTGGTGCTCTATATTCCGCCTGTAGCAAAGAAGGCAGTACAAGATGAATAATTTACCTTCAAGACAAGTAGAGTTGTCAAAGTGCCTGAAATGTAATGTGCCCTTATCTATTTGGCCCTGTGTGATATTTGAGTTTTAGACAGCAAAGTAACCTTTTAATTCAGAGCATTAACTAAATTTACTTTATGTTAATGTTCAATCATTTAATATCAGTGGTTTAATATGAGTTCCCTAAATATGTGACATCACTCCATTCCCATTTTTATAGTCTCTCTCTCTCTCTCTCTCTCTCTCTATATATATATATAAAACAACATTAACTCCATCTTAAACTTAGTAGCGTTGTTACCTTATGTGTAACGACACATCATGGACCAGCAGAGGGCGCTAACACACCAGAAAAGGTCTTTAACCTTCCTCTCTCTCTCCAATCTTTTCTAAGTGCCATGTTATCAGCTGGATAATAAATATTTATGTCCTGTGATGAAGAGGGTTGCCATGTTTTTGAACTCTTTAGTCAGCATTCTACTTTCTACCTTAGCAGGGATTTTTCTTTTACCTTAATGTCTTTTTAAGGAGTAAATCTGCACTGAATCACACCGAGGAGAAAACTGTGTTTGCACTTTTAATTTGTGGACCTGGAACACTATCTTGTATTTATAATGTGTCTTTATCATTCCCCTGGGATGCGCTGCCATTCACAACTGCAGCAGTGGCAGAGCTAGACTTTCTTGTCTGGCGTGGCCATACTGGGGACTACTGCAGGAGTGGCATGAAGCTGAATGTTGTCACACACAGATGAAAGGCATGAATTACCCTTTTTATCTCTGCTAATCATATCTACTTTAATAACATTTAAGTATGTCAAATATGTTCCTGCTTGAAGGTTTATTGACTCTGTAGGGATTTAGGTTGGACTCCAGTTTAAATCTCTGTGTGGACCAAAGGATTGATGATGGTCTGGTGGCTGAAGACGCACCAGGTCAGTTCCTGAGTACTGCCGACTACCCTTGAGCAAGGCACCAAACCCTTAACAGCTCTGGTGCGGCATATGCTGTGGCACATGAGTAGACCGGACCGGCATATGCCGCGACATGTGCCACTCATATGCGGCATAGTCTGCGGCTGCTCCTACAGTCTACAGTTCATAAATTATGCACGAGTATACCTGCAATATTTCTATTTTTACAGGACCCACACTGATCAAATTGTCAGAGTGCTCACGTCCAGTCAGCAGTCTCCCTCAATCTATGACGAACAAAAACTTTCAATTCTTGGCTACGTTTTATCATGACAAACTAGGTCTGCTCCGTGACCAATTACGAGGATATATAGGACCATTGATCATGTAAGAGATGCCCCGACTTAAAGGCAGGGTTGGTAATTACCTCCATATACACTTTTTAAGGTTTTGGTTGAAATTGTCTTGTCTTGAATTGTCTAGTTCTTGACAGAAATAAATAATTAGTGTGCTCTGAAAAAGGAATGAAGAAAATCCGTCATCTGTAACAGTTGTAAGCATGTAAAAACTTAAATAAAAACACAAAAAAAAAAAAAAAAAAATAGGATCAATAATTATAAGATGAGCTTTAAGGGAAGTACTCGTGACTGATATTTTTTCCAGTTATCATAAAATAACCCACATCTCCTATGCAATTCTCAAACATAATCCTCATGGGGTTTGGTCATTCTATTTAAGTAACACTTGATTAGTCAACTAACTGTTGCGTCCTCAGGAATGTACTAAAACACCTAAAAGTTGAAAGACATGCAAAGCAAACACAACTCTAGGAGTCACAGACAAGTTCTCCAGTCGTGTCTTGTTTTATGACAGCGACTCCAAGCTCAATTTGTTCGCAGCGTTCCTTCAGCTCAACAGGATCAGTGATCACTGAAACCAATGTGTGGAACCTCCAAACCACAATTTATGAATTTACGACTGTTGCTCCACTTCTCTGGGCATGCACACACTGAATTCTGGCTAGAGTTTCTGCAGTTGTTTTGCAGTTGTTTTAGTTGCCTAAACCCTGCTTAACAATCCAAAAGTCAATCTCTGGGCAGAACGTCTTTGACCTTGATGGCAAAGAGCCCAAAAGTATCAAAGTAGAGCAAAAGGAGAATAAAGTAGAAGAAGCAGAAGAAGAAGCAGGTTTCTGCTGAGTTTGATTGATGTGATCTGTTTCTAGATGCTTATTTCTGGCTGAGGAGTTCTGCTGACACGCAAGAAAAAACCTCTGTGGATACAAGAGAGAGGCATCCATCATTTTCAACTTCAACATTTGTGCATCCAATTGCTGAAAAGTAGGTTTGGATCCAAGGTGTAATCCTTTAAAGTTTAGAAATATCAAGCAGTCATGAATTACTGTAATTTTGTACATCCAACTATCCCTCAAAAGTGTTGCCGACTGTCAACCTGGTACACACACACACACACACACACACACACACACACAATGTAATTTCTGTTTCTGTGGCTTCCTCATGACTATTTAGACCACATTAGAAAGAAGTCAGAGGCCAGTGCCCCAGTTTGGCAAACCTGATTCAAAAAATGTCTTTCAACAAGTCTTAAAGGTCACATAACATTAATAAAATCTCATCGCCTCTTGAAAATCTGTCTACAGAAATAAAGGCTAAAAGAGACAGCTGATGATTTCAGGGAAGCCCCCGTTTCCCTCTGATTTGGCACCATAAATCAAAGTTACATAATGTGTTTTTGAAATTCAAATTGTTTTTGATGGGCTCATATTACAGTTTGTCTCTGTCTGGCTCCTGTTGTTCAGTCTGCATGGAGCATATGGCGACTGAAGCATGCGATTCCCCGGGGTTCTGCCTTTGAAACTATGCAGGCCAGTTCAGTATGTGTTCCCCCCTTACTGGGACGGCCCATTACTCTCTGTCATCGCCCCAAACAACAGTGTCACCTTACTATTCTTAGTCAAAAATGAAAGCGTCAATGTTTTTGATGTCAAACAGCAACACTTTCACTTGGAAGGAAGAT